CCTTTTATTGAAAACAGTTACAGTACACAGAAGCACCCACCATTGTAAAACCCACCAATGGTTGCTTAATATAAGGCACTATGTGTGTGTGCGTGTGTGTGTGTGTGTGTGTGTATGTGTATGTGTGTGTGTGGGTGGGTGGGTGGGTGCATTTGTGTGACCTCCTGCCCACAAAAGGATCATAAAAGCAGGAAGTTTACTAAGCAACAAACAGAACCCTCACATAGATGTCCCTAATAAAACACTTCAGCCTCCTCCACCAACAAACTGGCTGGAGAGGTGGTCAGAGACAAAGGAATGTCTTTGATCATGCTGCTTGAACTAAGACTTACAAATTTAAGTAACACAATGACAACATTTAACAATTTGATTCCAACAGTTGAAGTACTGATTCAGTTTCTTAGGAGTGAAATCAACAGCATGTGAAATGTACTTAAATAAATATAAAAGTAAAGTAGGTCTCAAGGGATTTTTTTTAACCAACCAAACTGGACTTCATGTCATACTGATGTCATAATAAAACAATACAAGCGAATACCATAGGATATAACATAACTTACCTCAAATGTCTTAAATCTAAAGCAATGAGCCTGTAAGGAGTTGAAAGTTCAGATATTTGTCTTCAAATCTGAGAAGAAATATATAATATATATATTATAATATATATAAATATATATAACAAAACACATACTTCCCACCTCTGCTTTTGTTACAGTTGCTAGAAGACAGCATTTTGACATTTGTGAAGAATGAGCTGAATAAGATCCTAAGGGTTCTTGGTGCACATGACCTTGAATGTTTAGAGGGTCAGAGGGACATTGTGGACATGTTGGAGGGTGATGATGAAGAGCAGAGGAGGAGCATCACAGAGGCATTTGTAAAGATCACGCTTCACTTCTTGAAGAGAATGAAGCAGGATGAGCTGGCTGAGCATCTTCAAAGCAGTAAGGCGATATCTCTAAACTGCAGGATAATTAAATTATTTATTATCTCAGTGTATGGGACAGTATGTACTCAAACATGTATTTTTTAAGGGGAATGAAATGAATGAAACTGACCAAAAAATATCCACAATTTCACCATTTTGAGTGATGAAATGTGATTTTGATTTAATTAAATTCAGTTCAGTTTTATTTACACAGCGCCAAATCACAACTAAAGTCACCTGAAGGCACTTTATATAGTAAGGTAAAAACCCTACAATAATACAGAGAAACCACCAACAGTCAGAAACCCCCCCAATGAGCAAGCACTTGGTAACAAGGGAAGGAAAAAGATCAGTTCTAACAGGAAGAACCCTTTGGTAGAACTAGGCTCAGAGAGGGAAAGCCATTTTCCATGACTGCTTAGGGGTGAGGGGAAGAAGACGGCACAAAAGACAAGCTGTGCAACGGGGCCAGGCATTAATAAAAACTAATAATTAAATGCAAAGGGAGGTATAACAACATAGTGAAAGGTAAGTGAAGAAAAAACACCAGGGGATTTATCGCAGCATAACTAAGGGAGGATTCAGGGTCACCTGATCCAGCCCTAACTATATGCTTTATAAACCTAATCTTAAAAGTAGAGAATTCAGTAGTGTCTGTCTCCCAAATCCAAACTGGGAGTTTGTTCCACAGAAGAGGGGTCTGAAAGCCCAAGGCTCTGCCTCCTAAAAGATAAAAAGTTATAAAACGTTTTATCTAACATTTCAAATAAATTAATACTGATTTATGCAAGTTATTTATTGTGTCTTTTCAGACATGTTTGCTCCAGTTTGTCAACATAATCTTAAATCTCAACTGAAGAAGAAGTTCCAGTGTGTATTTGAGGGGATCGCTAAAGCAGGAAACCCAACCCTTCTAAATCAGATCTACACAGAGCTCCACATGACAGAGGGAGGAACTGCAGAGGTCAATGATGAACATGAAGTCAGGCAGATTGAAACAGCATCCAGGAAATCAGAAAGACCAGAAACAACAATCAGACAAGAAGACATCTTTAATGCCTCACCTGGAAGAGATGAACCAATCAGAACAGTGTTGACAAAGGGAGTGGCTGGCATTGGGAAAACAATCTTAACACAGAAGTTTATTCTGGACTGGGCTGAAGACAAAACCAACCAGGACATCCAGTTCATTTTTCCATTCAGTTTCAGGGAGCTGAATGTGTTGAAAGATGAAAAGATGAGCTTGGTGGAACTCGTTCATCACTTCTTTACTGAAACTAAAGAAGCAGGAATCTGCAACTTTGAAGACTTCCAGGTTATGTTCATCTTTGATGGTCTGGATGAGTGTCGACCTTCTCTGGACTTCCACAAAACTAAAAACCTAACTGACCCTACAGAGTCCACCTCTGTGGATGTGTTACTGACGAATCTCATCAGAGGGAACCTGCTTCCCTCCTCTCGTCTCTGGATAACCACGCGACCTGCAGCAGCCAATCAGATTCTTCCTAGGTATGTTGACATGGTGACAGAGGTGAGGGGGTTCACTGACCCACAGAAGGAGGAATACTTTAAGAAGAGATTCAGAGATGAGGAGCAGGCCAGCAGGATCACCTCTCACATAAAGACATCAAGAAGCCTCCACATCATGTGCCACATCCCAGTCTTCTGCTGGATCACTGCTACAGTTCTGGAGGATGTTCTAAAAACCACAGAGGGAGGAGAGCTGCCCAAGACCCTGACTGAGATGTACATCCACTTCTTGGTGGTTCAGGCCAAAGTGAAGAAGGTCAAGTATGATGGAGGAACTGAAACAGATCCACACTGGAATAAAAAGAGCAGGAAGATGGTTGAGTCTCTGGGAAGACTTTCTTTTGAGCAGCTGCAGAAAGGAAACCTGATCTTCTATGAATCAGACCTGACAGAATGTGGTATTGATATCAGAGCTGCCTCAGTGTACTCAGGAGTGTTTACACAGATCTTTAAAGAGGAGAGAGGACTGTACCAGGACAATGTGTTCTGCTTTGTCCATTTAAGTGTTCAGGAGTTTCTGGCTGCTCTTCATGTCCACCTGACATTTATTAACTCTGGAGTTAATCTGCTGGATGACCGAAATACAATCTCCAAGTGGTCTAAATTATTTAATAAACCTAAACTACAGTTTCTCCACCAGAGTGCCGTGGATAAGGCATTGCAGAGTTCAAACGGACACCTGGACTTATTTCTCCGTTTCCTGCTGGGTTTTTCTCTACAGACAAATCAGAGTCTCCTACGTGGTCTGCTGACACAGACAGGAAGCTGCTCACAGACAAATCAGGAAACAGTTCAGTACATCAAGACGAAGCTCAGTGAGAATCTGTCTGCAGAGAAAAGCATTAGCCTGTTCCACTGTCTGAATGAACTGAATGACCATTCTCTAGTGGAGGAGATCCAACAGTCCCTGAGTTCAGGAAGTCTCTCTACAGATAAACTGTCTCCTGCTCAGTGGTCAGCTCTGGTCTTTATCTTACTGTCATCAGAAAAAGATCTGGATGTGTTTGACCTGAAGAAATACTCTGCTTCAGAAGAAGCTCTTCTGAGGCTGCTGCCTGTGGTCAAGGCTTCCAACAAAGTTCTGTAAGTATACTCAAAGTTGTATATATCATATATCATATACTGATATCTTTCAAGAAAAACATTAATCTCTTTCCACTTGGTTATTTGTCATTGTAGACTAAGTGACTGTAGTCTGTCAGAAAGAAGTTGTGAAACTCTGTCCTCCATGCTCAGTTCCCAGCCCTCTAGTCTGAGAGTGTTGGACCTGAGTAACAATAATCTGACTGATGTTGGAATAAAGCTTCTATCTGCTGCACTGGAGAGTTCACTCGGTACACTGGAAACTCTCAGGTAAGATAAAGTTAAATATATAAAATAAAGCTATGGAGTCATTTACATTAAAATTCCAGCAAGTCCTGAAATGAGATTAAATATTGCTAAATCTAGTCGTGACCCCAAATTGTTTGTTTTAATACCAGTATTACTTGTGTACTTGTTCTTTTTTTCTTTTCAGACTAAATGTCTGTAACCTCTCAGAGAAAAGCTGTGAAGTTCTCTCATCAGTCCTGACTTCCCAGTCTTCTAGTCTGAGAGAGCTAGACCTAAGTGACAATGACCTGAAAGACTCTGGAGTGAAGCTACTATTGACTGGACTGGAAAGTCCAGACTGTAAAATGGAAACACTCAGGTTGGATTTCAAACTTCTTTGTAGTTTGATGTATGATCTATTTACCTGAACCTGTGAACTTATGAATTAAAGCTATTCCATATAGAATTATTTTTTCACAGTTTAGATTCACATAGTGCCTTTTTGCAGTGAAAATAAATAGTTTTTTTTGTGTTTTTATTTAGAAAAGACCAACAATAATTCACCACGTATAGATATTTTATATAGAAAATATTAGACCTCAAGAGTTCAGACCAGATATTTTAACATGTTATTTTTCTGTACATTATTGTCTTCGCAGACTGAGTAGCTGTAACCTCTCAAAGAGAAGCTGTGAAACTCTGTCCTCAGTTCTCAGCTCCCAATCCTGTACTCTGAAAGAGCTGGATCTGAGTAACAACAACCTGGAGGACTCTGGTGTGAAGATGCTTAAGAATCCAAATTGTACAATTGTCAGGTCAGAAAAAGTGTTGTTAAGTCATTTTTTTAAAATAACCAGTAACAATTGTAGCTAATAAAGATAAGTTATAATAAAAAAAACTTACACTGAAAATTACCAAAAGAAAACCACAAATAGTGAAGGATTGTAGGTGACATTTTAGAAGAAAATAGCCTAGGCAGCCTGAGGCTGGAGAGAAGACAATTACAGTCCATGAGGTGGATCAGTGCTGGGGGAGTTTTCCAGAGACAGAATGTGGAACCAGTACTGGAGGAGAAACCCTGCTGTAGTCAAAGTAGGGAAGAAGGACCTCTTTAGAGGTCGTCCAAAGAGTAGCAGAAGAAAAATAAGCAGAGAGGTCGAGAGAATTGCCAGCAAAGGTCTGCCACAGTGATGAATTTCCAGACCCAAGTTTCCTCTTTGCAAGGAGGAGGAGAGTGCTAGTCAAAGAAAACAACTTTCAAAATAAAACAGGAAGTCAAATACTAGGAAAAGCTTGCATATAATAAAAAATAACATAAAATAACATAAGCACTTATACTAAATAAGCTCTAACCACAATATAAATCGAATCAAAATACATGAATCAACTAAAACAATAATTAAGCCAAAAAAACATTAAATAAAAAATAATCATTTTCTTAAAACGAAAACCTCTAAAAACTCTTGATCTAACACCACATAGTATAGTATAGGGCATATCACCAGGCATAAACATAGGGGGTTACTTGAGGAAGCTGATCAGGATTCTTGAAACCGATATATATATATATATATATATATATATATATATTGCTGATCAGCAATATCAGCATCGCTACATAAATTCATAATGCATGCAGGTAAAAATGACAGATGAAAAAATATGAATGTACCACAAACGTGATAGAGAACAAAGCAGTCAGGGGTCAACATGAACAATGAAAAAGTGTCTTATACAGGAACATTAAAACTGAAGCATATTGTCCCATTTTGAATGAGTCTAAATGTTTGACTGTTCCTTTATCAGTGTCTAACAGTATGTGTATGAGTGTAATGTAATGTCCGTGTGTGCATGCTGAAAGAGACTGTGCTGGTCTGACCCCCTCCTCCTTTCAGGGTGGAGCCTGCTGGAGTCCGATGGTTGAGACCAGGTCTGAGGAAGTGTAAGTGTGTTTTTAATGTGATTCATGAAAACAAAGCGGCTCACATTCAACCATCTTCAAACTGTCACATCACTCATTCACATCTCTGATGTCAGGAGTCATCATCAAAGTGTCACTCAATGAACTGTATTGTGTTTGTTCTCTCCATCAGATTCCTGTCAACTCACAATTGACGCAAACACAGTACACAGAGAACTTAAACTCTCTGATAACAACAAGAAGGTGACACATGTGGAAGAGGATCAACCATATCCTGATCATCCAGACAGATTTGATCGCTGGCCTCAGCTGCTGTGTAGAGATGGTCTGACTGGTCACTGTTACTGGGAGGTTGAGTGGAGTGGAGAAGCTCACATATCAGTGAGTTACAGAGGAATCACAAGAAGAGGAAACATTAACAACTGTTTGTTTGGGAGGAATGAACAATCCTGGAGTCTGAGCTGCTTTGATGATGGTCCTCGTTATGTCTGGCACAATAACAGAAAACTCACTTTCTTGTCATCAATCTCCTCCTCCTCTGTCTCTAACAGAGTAGCAGTGTATGTGGACTGTCCTGCTGGCACGCTGTCCTTCTACAGAGTCTCCTCTGATGACACTCTGATCCACCTCCACACCTTCAACACCACATTCACTGAACCTCTTTATCCTGGATTTAGACTTTTATTTTCTGGTTCCTCAATAAGTCTGTGTACTTCAGCCTAAGGAGTGTCCTCCTATTAGATTAACACTCTGTATATTTCTGTCTCTATCACTCAGAAACGTATTCAGATTCATCAGTTCAATCAGTTGAAGTTCATTATAACGATTCTTCCAGATTTTTGTGCATATTTATTGTTAAAGCTTCATAGTGGATATCAATATGTTGTGTTTCACCAAAGCTCAGTTTTGATCCCGTTCATCTGCATCTCAAACAAGTATGAGCTCATTAAATGAATCCAAATGTTTTATTTCTGTTTATTTCAGTGGTTTGTTTTTGTTGGTTTGTTTGGGGTTTTTTTTATTTTTGGTCAAAAAAAGGTTTTATAAAAAAATTCTCAAGTGTTTAATGTACTTTTTCCCTCCATATGGTGTTTCAGTCATTTTTGGCAGCTCTAATGGAAGACAGGAAGTTAGCTCCTAGCAAGAGGGGATTTACACAAGAAATGTGATTTAAATAATATTTCATATGTCTGTAATGTTTTATATGTATGACAACAGGACTGTAAGTAAAAGTAACATAGTAGCACATCAGTATTAGTGTTTATTCAGAAACAGATGCTAGATGTGTTAAATAATTTTCTGTGAAAATAAAAAATAAATGTACTTCTATTGAGAAAGGAAAAGTACTTTGCCGTTATTTTGTTTTTATTTTGGAAATATGGATAACAGGGTTACATTAGTTAGAATGACGCACTCAGTCTAGTCTGAAAAATATCTCAGTGTTAGCACGTAAGTCACGTGCTATAGTTAACATGATGGTTAACCCATCATGTTAGTATGTGACTCGCTCAATCCTTTCTGTTTTTCTCTCACTTTTGTTTTAATTTTCCAGGCTAATTAGGTTTCAATAACAGGGATGTACATATCTTGTAGGGAACAACTTGCAGTGCATGGTTACTGTTCTCTAAAATATGTTGAGCTATTTCACAAAGCTACATCCAGTTCATTTTTCCATTCAGTTGAGCTATTTCACAATTACTAGAAGTTCATATTAATGAAATCAAAACAAAAAATTGGATTGATAGCTTATTTTTTCAATAAGTAGGGACATGTGAAAATTCAGCTTTGAGTGCTTCCTGAGAGCTGAGTTGTATTTAAAAAAAAATATGGATGAGACAAAATCTTGTTATTGTAGAATGGCCCAAAAGTAGTTGATGGTGAGCCTGATGTTGAAGATGAACTGATGATGAGAGGTGAAGATACCCTTCGATAACCAGACACAGAAACAGGGATGGCTGGGTGTATTTGATAAAATTGATGAAACTCAAACAGGCAGAAAGAAAAGGGCAACAAGCAGATGGAAATCCAAAACAATCAATTTCATGAGACAGAAAGATTTTCTGCATTTAGCTTAAAATGATTAACTGCAGGAAAACAATGACTTTCACTTGTTATTCATGGGAATGGTCATAGAGGGACCTGATGACACGTTGAAGGATAAGTGAATAGGGTGGAAAGAGAGGTACCCTGGATAATGATGGACCTTTGTTGGAGTTTGTGGAAAATATTAGTTTAGTTTTTAAAGAGAACTTTTAGTATGTCGTGGTCCCTGTGTCTGCCTCGCTGGCCCCACGGGGCTTCATTGGTTTGTTTTTGTTTTGTGCCTGTCTTTCTCTCCCTCTCTCGACACTCTGCCTGGGAAGAGCCTTCAGCAAGTCCCAGCTTTGTCTGCACAGCTGTTCTCAATTACTCAGCTGAGGAGTCTCTGATATTTAAGGCTGGGAAGCAGAACGGGTCTTCACTGGATCATTAAGTGAGACAAGTCAGTATTACATCTCGTCTTACGAGCTAATTTCCAATTTGAGAGTTTCGCATTAGTGATTAATCCTTTTTGTGAACAGTTTCCCCGGACCAACTGCCTTTCCTGTGTGGAGTACAAGTGTGACAGCATGTGGGAGAGTGTGAGAGGATTTCCCCTTCCCCAATTGGCTTTTTGGACCCTGACCCTGTGGTTTCCCTCTTCACTTGCATATAGCTTGTACTTTGGTGACCTGTAAATAAACCGCTTTATTGGATGTAATACCGTCTGCGCCTGAGTCCTCCCTAACTCGTGACCAGTGTTGGGACTAACGCGTTATTAAGTAACGCGTTA